AGTCCAATGATGTGCAGGTTAGGTAGACTGGCCATGCTAAGTTGTCCATAATGTCCAGGGATGAGTGGCTAGGTGGATTAGCCATGAAAAATGTAGGGTTACAGGGATAGGGTTAGGATGTGGGTGGGATGCTCTTTGGAGGGCAGTGTGGACTCAATGGGCCAAATGGCCTACTTTCACACTGTAGGGAATCTATGATCTATGATCATTCAGGATGGGGACAGTGTGGGGCCTCCTCCTCCTGTTGGTTATTTAATATTGCTGCTAATAGCATAGAGCACTTCATGGATTTCCAATTTTGAGTTGATGATCTGTTCAAAGGCTGTCTAATTTAGCACAGTGCTAGTGCTAAGGCCAAGATCAATCCAATTTTTCCTTCTTGTTGGTCGACGCACTATCTGCAACCAACCCAGTTCAGCAGCTATGTCCCTTAGAACCCAGACACATCAGTCAGCAGCAATGCTGCAGATGGACTTTGAAGTCCCCCACCCATTGTACACTCTGTACCCTATCCAGCTTCAGTGCTTCCTCCAAGTGGTGTTGAACATGGACTACAATGTGGAGAAATGAGAGGTCATCTACTTTAGTAGGGAAAACAGAATTATGGAGCACTTCTTCAAACGGTGAGAGGCTGGGAAGATTTGGCCTTCGCAGGGAGTTGTGCATCCTTGTTCAGGAGTTACTGAAAGTTAATATACAGGAAGCAATTCAGATGGCAAATAGCATGCTGCCTTCGAATCCCCTTGTACTGGAGTAAGGATGACTTATTGCAATTATATAGAGGTCTGAAGAGATTACACCTGGACTATTATGTTATGTTCTGGTCTCCTTATCTAAGGAAAGATACACTTGCTTAGAAAGAATGCAGTAAAGTTTCATCAAGTAATTCCTGGGATGGAGCAATTGCCTTATAAATACACCAGGCCTACATTTACTAGAGTTAAGAGAGGTGGTCGCATTCAAACATACAAAATTCTGATAGGGATTGACAGGGTGAATGCTGAAAGGAGGTTTCCTTAAACTGGGGTTCTAGAATCAGAGGACAGAGTCTCAGAATATGGGGGAAGTAATTTAGGATTGAGAAGAAGTAATTTCTTTTCACAGACTGTGAACTTTTGTAATTCTCTGACTGAAGGAGTTTTGGAGGCTTAATCATTGAGTTTGTTCAAGACTGAGATGGATGGGTTTCAGGATATCAAAAAAGTCAATATGGATACGTGGATAATGCAGGGAAATCGGATTGAAGTAGATCAACCATGATCTCAATATTTCTTACATTAAGTTCCTATACCAGTGACCCCCCTTTCCTCTCCAAATGTCATGCCAGCTATACCCTCAGTGTTAATAATACAACTAATTAAGGTTAATTTATTAATTTATTTATTAGGTAGATTATTATGCCTCACTGGGGCAGTGCACTGGAATTCAAGATCCACCAGTCACAAAGTTGTCATAGAAGTTACACAAAATTCCCAAATTTACCCAGTTTTCAGACCAAGGCTGACAGAAGGCATGAACCAGGTTTCTGTATTTAACAAAAATCATTATTTAACTAAGTATGCTCTAACTAGAGGCAAACAGTTTTGAATAGTTATATAACTCTAATCTCCTCAAACTCTATCTTACACAGAAAAACATACAGGCAGGGACAAATAGGTTATGTGTAGAGGAAAACTGGGAGGCAGTTCAATGATTGCTTTTCATATGGTGCTGAGCTGAAGCTTAATGATTCTTATACTGGTCAAATCATTGCTTGTCAGTCACCTTTCTTTGGCTGCTTCCACTAGTTAGCAAGAGACACATGATAGCTGGTTCACTTATAGAGACAGGGACAGCCATGGACAGTTACTATAGGAAGCATGAAGAAGCATCCCATTATGCTTAGCTAGACACAGACACTGAGCCTCAGAGTCATTCACTCCAAGGAAGCAGCGAAGTAAAGCCATGGTGTGCAGTGCACAGCACAACACTGAGCTCTGTGAAACCCTTGTTAGCTCTTATCAAACAGTCCACACAAGTTTGTTGAGGCAGTAGATTTGCATTTAAACCAAGTCTTTTTCTGACTTTGGTGGTTCAGGGCTCTGATTGGAGTTTGTGGAGATGTCCATGAGAGGGTTTTATTTTGTGTCAGCTTAGTCTTTAATGGGTGCCCCTCATCACTCAGAAGCCATCTACTGTAGCTGAATGGAGGTATGAATTGCTGAGGCACCAGAGACTACAAAAAGGATAAAGTGGGCAGGGCAACTCCTGGAAATTCTGGAGGTATCTGCTGGATCCTTTTGCAGTGATCTCATACCAACTGCTCATTAAAATCACTGGAAACCTTTATGATTAACATTTTCACCTGGCCAATCCAATAAAGCATTAATCTCCAAGTGGATGCAGACAATAGCTTTCTGGACCAGAGAGGAAATTCTGCCTTAGATGTGTAGCATACAGACCTCTGGCACAACCATTTGAGGTATGGGATTGCCTCTGAAACAATGCACCCATCTGCTTGATAGAGCTGTGGGTTGTGAATTGCAAAATTCCACAGAACTCACTGACTGAACACTGTAACAGGCTCAAAGCATAAAAACACAAGGTGACAGTCACCTTCATTGCCACAAGCACACAGGGTGTTCACCTGCTCGGAAAGTCTTTCTGCTGAAGGGTGCAGAAGTCATTCAAACACCTGACATGATAACCTGAGTTTCAGAGGCACTGCTGCACTGACAAGCCAAGGAAGCTGACCATTGGCCTGTAGATCTTATTTCAAAGGCATTCCTTCTGCTCTGTCCAGGAGCTGTTTGCTAGGTGGGATCATGTGGGCCCGGTACAGCTGGCTATCCTTTTATATCCACTTCCTATGGAACTTTTTTTCATGCAATATCTCAAAATCTCCATGTATCTCTTTTTTACGACTCACCTGAGGACATCTTTTTTGACCAAGTTTTTTATCACCTCTCTTTAAAACGTCTCTTTTGTGGAGTTTAGAAGCAGCTTACAATGCTTTCTACAAAAGAAAGCTACCTCCAGTTCTCTCAATCCCCTTTCCATTAGAGTCTTGGTTAATCACTTAATCACCTTGATTAATCACTTAACCATCGTAATAACTTCCATTTCATTACTTTGGTAAACATTTTCTTCAAGTAAAAACTTCACATCAGCAAAACTCCCCATAATTATTCCTATTTCAGTAATTGATTTTCCAGCAAAACACATACTTAATTCCAATTGAAACAAGTTTTTCCACCTAATTCATAAAATAAATTAAATGCTGGCATTTCTTTTTGAGTTAAGACTTCAAATTAAATCCTGTGTTCAGCAGATTAAAAGAAAAACTTGTTAGGAAAGACACAGTTAGATTTTAAAACCTATGTAGAGAAATGTGCAACAAGGTAGACTTTCAACTAAAAATTCACAAAAGGTGCTCAAGATGGAAGTGAGGCAAATACTTGACAACAGCAAATTATATGCAAACGTTAATTATGAAAATGATGTTGCAAAGTATGTCAAAAGAACCTTGTGTAAAATTATATAATTTTCATTTATAGGACTTTCATTTACAAATCTGTTTTAAAAATGAGTAGAGCATACTAATGGCACAGTACTTATATCCACAGAGTAGAGATGAAGTTTATTAGTGCCCAGACTGCAGATACTTCAGTATGTCCCCGTAGGAAAGGAATTCAGAGATGGTTTGAGTTATAAGGAGAGGCTGGATAGGCTGGTACTTTTTTCCCTGGAGCATAAAAGGTTGGGGGTGACCTTAGAGGTTTATATTATTACGAGGGGCATAGATAAGGATAATAGCTAAGGTCTCTTCCCTCAGGTAGGGGAATTCAAAACTAGAGGGCATAGATTGTAGGTGAGAGCCAAAACATTTAAAAGGGACCAGAGGGGCAACTTTTTCACACAAAGGAAGTGGTAGATGCAGGTACAGTTACAACATTTAAAAGACATTTGGACAGGTACATGAATGTGAAAGCTTTAGAGGGATATGGACCAAATGTAGGCAAATGGGACTGGTTTAATTTGGGAAATCTGGTCGGCATGGACGAGTTGGACTGAAGGGTCCGTTTTGGACTGAAGGGTCCATTTTGGTGATGTATGACTCTACGAAGATCAGTGACAAAACTCACTTCAAGCCATTCACTCCGTGTTCCATGCATAGGGTGACAACTATGATTAAAGCAAGAGGGTCAATTTGAGAAATTATCCCGAGACTGAGGACTACTACTAAAATATTTCCATAGGCATAACACTTCTTTCTAATTTCCAATTTGTCCTGTTCAAAATGATGTCTCAGAATTCTAGCTCTTCAGTCGGTACTGCAGAAAAACTGCTGTGCTACAATGCTTCGCGCAGCACAGTGGCTCAGTTAGCACTGCCACCTCACAGCGCCAGGGACCTGGTTCGATTCCACCCTCGGGCAACTGTCTGTGTGGAGATTGTACATCATCCCCATGCCAGAGGGTTTCCTCTGGGTGCTAGATATGCAGGTTAGGTGGATTGGCCATACTAAATTGCCCATAGTGTTTAGGGATGTGCAGGCTAGGCGGATTACCCATGGGAATTGAGGGGTGGATTGGTGGGGGTGCTGGGTCTAGATGGGATGCCCTTTGAAGGGTTGGTGTAAACTCGATGGGCTGAATGGCCTGTTTCCATGCTGTAGTGATTCCACAATTCTACGGATGAATTCAGCTTCATTTCTTTCCAAATTTCTTTCAGTTTTATTATTTTAAACAACATCAAATTTAATCAACAAAACATAAGGTCTGAATTTGAGAGCTTAAAATGGGTGCTAAACTGTGATTCTACAGACAGGTACATTTTCCCTTTCTCTCAGACTCTGTTTCACCCTGATTACCACTCTGTTTAATCTCCCTATGTGCAATGCTACAGGAGAATTTCACAGCTATCTAAAATATGGAAGAATAATGCAGGAAAGAACATCTCAATTACAAATGCATTTACTTAATTTATGTATAATTACACCTGGAAAAGATTCAACTTACCCTCATAAATGCTTGATGAGTGTTACACGTAATGATATTGTGATAGATTGCAATTTGTCCTGAACTACTAGTCAAGTTGCCATCAGATCTTAAGTTAAATCTGGGAGGAAAACCGTTCCTTCTGTTAACATCGGTACTTATGTTATAGCGCAACACTGAAAGACGAAAGATAGAAATGACATTTGTTACCTGGACCAGGTTTAGAACATTACAAAGTCACAGAATTTAACTTTCAGGTATGTGTATTTAGAATAGACAGAGCTACAACACATCCACAAGATGGCACTTCATTAAAGAGCTAGAACCTGAATTGTTCAGTTTCATTCCCCACCCCCCCACCCCACCCCAAGTATTTGTACACTCTTAAGTATTTTATTTTGCTAACACTTGTAGATGCTTAGAAACAAACCAGTTACATGCATCAATTATTGTCAATATTTTATTCATAGTCTCCATCATAAAAATGCACCTCATTATTAAGGTTTCCGATCTGTGCAATTAAACAGCCTTTATAAATTTAATTTTTTTAATATATTTACTGTGCTATAAATTGTTAACAAGATTCTTTGTCTCTTGAAGTAAGCGGAATTAAGTGCTGCTAAAAGGAAGGTAGACGTCATCAAATATACCAAAGTCTCCGCATATGCAACAAAAGCTGCTTCAAACAGCTTCACATTAACTGAGCACAACAATATTTTTATAGAAAAAAACTATAGGTTTGGACATGAATATTGAATGTAATGAAACTGTATGAATACGTAAAATTGATGCTATTTACTGGTGTATTCCATTTTCAATTTTATGGGAACAATTGTAGCCAAAGTTCTTCCTCCAATTGAAATACGAATTGGGACTTCAAGTGTGATACAGGATTTACCATTTACTGTGGTTTCATAGGAATTTTGATCCATTCTGCTTATATCCTCAACATGTACAGCTGTTCGGTAAACTTCTATGGCAGTAATAAAGCTTTATCTAGTTTCCTCAAAGGCATAAAGAGATCTTTTACCTTACTCAAACAAAACCAGAAAACTTATCAAGTTCGTACCTTCAATTTAGCCTAAATTTACCAGACCATTTAAAACTAAAACAAGATATAGGTACTCAACTTCAGTGCCTAGGCTCATATTTTAAAGTAAATTTGGTTCATGATAGAAGCAGAGATGCCCAATTGCACTATTGTAACGGTTTAGCAAAGCAAACACTCATTTTAGACAGGGCAGGTCAAAACGCTTATTCAACCCCCGCCCTTTCAACAAATACTCAAAATCCCAAAAAATTAAAGTTCAATTTGCAAGAAAATTGTTTTTAAAATGTGTTAAAATTCACTTCTTGTTTTAGCAAAATAAGCTTAATTTTACTAGCTAACTGAAAACAGGAAATATATGAAACAAAACATTTTCTCCCCAGAGTACATTGGCTTCCTCAACTTTAATCAACTCTCTTATCATCCTTCATTATCTTTTAATGCACGAGACTAAAACAGCTAGGATGAAGCTAACTAGATGAAATGCAATTGTGTCTTATTTTAAAAGTAATTTCAAAGTGACACCGATTTGTTTTAGACCTTTACATCAGTCTTCCCGATGGAAGACACCAATAGCATTCTAGAATTGAAACAGAATCAGGGGGCACACTCACTTTGATCTGATTTATTACCGTCACATGTACAAACATACAGTGAACAGTGTTGTGTTATGTTCTTTACAGGCAAGTAGTACTTTACAAATGCATCAGGGTAACAGAACAGAGTGCAGGATACAATATTACAGCTGCTGAGAAGGTGCAGAGAGGGTTTGGCTAGCACAGTGCCTTTGAGAAAATGATGGTGAGCTGCCTTCTTGAACCACATCAGTCCACCTGCTGTGGGTAGACCCACAGTGCCATTAGGGTTGAAATTCCAGGATTTTGACCTTGGGACACTGAAAGAATGGTGATTATATTCCCACATTCTGCCTCATTTTTGTACATATACAGATCTGGATCTTCAGAGAGCATAACTTCATAGTAATTGTCCTTTATTCATTAAAGTTAGCACAAAGGAGTAGAATTACTCATGTATGATCTTGGTGTCATGTAATTTTGTGAATTTGCACAACCATGCCATTGACAAGTGTGATAATTCCTTTTTAAAAAATCACCAAAAATTGCTGCTTGTTGTGTACAGTAATAATCTAGACATGACTGTAGAAGACATGATCAGATGTCGCAAAATTTGATGTGGCAAATCGTGAGGAGGAAAGCCATAGACTACAATACAATATAGAAGGGCTGAATGGCAAATGGAATTTAATGCTAAAAATGACCAGGTGATGCATTTTGGGAGGACTAAGGCAAGGGACTAAATGTTGAATGGTAGGACTCTAGGAAGTAGAGGATCAGAGGAAACTTGGTGTATATGTCCATAGATCCTTGAAGACATCAGAACAAGTAGACAACATGGGTTAAGACGACATTTGGGATATTTGCATTTATTAGTCAAGGCACTGAATTCAAGAGCCATGAAGTTATGTTGCAACTGCATATAACATTAGTTGCACCACAACTGGAGTATTGTATGTGTTTCTGGTCACCCCAATATAGGTAGGATGCGATTGCACCAAAGATGGTGCAAAAGAGACTCACCCAGGATCTTTCTTGTGCTGGACTGATTCAGCTATGAAGACAGACTAGACAGGTTGGGGTTGTTTAACTTAGAGCAGAGAAGGCTTCAGGAGTTGGGGGAACAGGGAGATCTGATTGAGGTGTAAAGAGTTCTGCAGGACACAGATAGGGTAGATAGGGAGGAACATTCCACTTAGTAAAAGGAGCTGTACATAGGTGGCACAGTTTTAAGGTAAAGAGATGGAGATTTAGAGGGTGGTGGGAATCTGGACCTCATTGCCTGAAAGGGTGGTAAAGGTAGGAACCCTCCAGACATTTAAGGTAACACTAGATGAACAGTTGAAACATCATAGCATAGAAGGCTACAGGTAAAGTGCTGGAAAATGGGATTAAAATCGATGGATGTTCGATGACCAGCATGGGCACAATGAGCCAAAGGGCCTCTTTCTGTAGAAATTCTGAAAATATAACATTGAAAGTCTGTCGTTCTGACTCCCATTCAAATGGGGTAGGTCAAGGTTTGATCTGACTTTAACCTTCAAGTTTCATGGGTATAATTATCATCAAAATAGTGCACTTTGAATAACCTATCTCCCTCGCTCATAGCAGCCCTGATGATGTAGCTTTACAGATTTCCTTTACAACCCATCAATAATATCCCGATTCATGTTTGGCAACTTCTGGGAAACACCAGCTTTTCAGCATCTCAGACAGTCACAGCTTTTTAAAAGCTTTTTTTTGGTCAGCTCAGCCAGTACCTCTAAGAGATTTGGTCTCCTTCATAGTGAAATTGTTCAACTGACCTTCTCCTGAGAGACACTTGCTCTTTCTCCTCAAGAATTCTGTGTTCTGCTTTACATCATTGTCTACTCTCCCCTTCCTATCTGCCAGCCACATCACTACATTCCTAATTTCCTTCTGTTGGCATTGCTTCCAGATCAAGGTCTGCAGGTCACATGGATCAGTATTTCTTGTTATTCAAGAAAATTTTCAATCAATTTTTTTTATAATTAATGCATACTCTGAAAAAGTTCTTTTCAAACACTAGTCATTTAGTAGTTCACAACTTGAGAATTTGTGAAAAAAAAAGACATATTGTTGAAACTCTCATTTTGCATTTGTCAGGACAGAATCACAAGAATACCAAAATTTCAATGAAACAATAATTTGTACTGGTTGAGAAAAGTGGTGCTGGTTCCTGTTTCAAGTGAATTCAAATTGGCTGACATCTTTCCACATAGAATGCACCAGGGAACAGTTATCCCAAAGATTTTATTTAACTGAAAAAGATCCAATGCCTGGACACATTATTCCTGTTCCCAGGGAACACAGCCCTGCATATGAATGTATGTAATGTTAATGAGATGCATTGCTAGCTCAACTACATCTTAATTTCATTGTTAATGTAAATTTTAGGACACTCACAATCATTCAGCAAGTACCATCCAATCATAAAATCATACAAGATCAGATGTTCTGAATTTTGTAAGTATGGGAGCAAGGGAGCAATGGGAAGCTAACTGGTCCTTTCAGCATGCTACACTATTCCACAAGATCGTGGTCCTAACTCCATTTTCCTGTATATTCACCTAACCCCTGATTATCCTGTTAAGGGCTAATTGAGGAGGATCAATACTGTCTGTTGTAAACAGCTGAAGGTATGTAAACCAGTCATTATGACCTATGACCTACATAACTGGCCTCACACCCCCACATACAACCCAGGACTCATTTGTGTGGAAGGCTTCAAAATTCAATTTCTCTTTACAATTTAGGTGATCAAGTAATGAAGAATGACAACCTTTCTTTCATTTCCTCCTTTACTTTTGACCTCACTGTGCCTGCTCAACTTCATATATTTTCTACTGTTTAAGCAGCATCATACTGAAGTTGCAGTGGATGTGTAATCATAAGTGCCACTCCTATCTATTCAACTCACAGAGGAACACAGTGTCTCTTCATAAAACATCAGAAATTTCACCCCAATACTCTGAAATTTGTCCTCTCACTTTTCTTAAAAGAAATTTTGAAAAATCTTTAAGTGCTAGCTATTAAAAGCTAAGGACAAAAGAATTGAGTTCAGGTGATTAAATGGATATTGGGCTTTGAGAAATTAGACACACTACACATGCTCAGACTGCACGATCCAAATTTGCTCCACAAAATTAAAGCTTGAGCAAAATTAATCACTTCTAAACTAGACTTTTGACACTGTGAGATAATCACCTTTATTTAAAAAAATACATTGTTAGTCATAAGAAACAATTCAAAAGAATAAGCTAATCATGTTAGAGATATTTTTACATTTCGAATTTCAACATTTTATTTAATTTCTTATTTTCAATGTTAGAAATCTGAGTAAATGAGATTAAAAAGGAGAGATTAATGTCATAACAACCATTATCCGAGGTTATACTGTAGCCCTGTCATATTAATGCAATTCAAACTCGGTGCTTAGAGTTCAATTTTACAATCAAAAACCTGTGAACTTGACAGAACAAATTAATCAGGATGGCACTGTGCAGCTTGGGTAATATTACCTTACTTCTATTGTTCAATACTGGTGTTGTGCTGCAACTTGACTGTTCCCACACATTTAATTAATTTGACTGAGTCATCTTGTCATTTCAGTACACTGCCTTTCTAATCACCACTTCCAGGTGTTCCTAGCATAGAATGTGATATACACATGTTGAAACATCATATATACATTGCCTTTGCTTTCCTGAATGGGAACACAAAATAGAACACTGACTACCACTGCATGGTCTAATAAACTAAGTAATTCTCAATTAAATAACTAATGCTTCAGATACGTGTTCACCATAATTTGAATACATAAGAAAATGAGATCAAAGTTATCAAAAGCGATTTACAGTTTTCTCATTGTTTATTATTTTCCCAATATTGTGAACTAAGGAACGTTTGAGACTTATGGCAGAGTCAAGCCTTTTGTACTGAATCACATCTGCAAAAAAACTGTGAACATGGCAATTGGAGAATTTGCACAAGTTCTGCAAATTGGAATCAGGTACAGTATTGAATAACATCATTTTATACCATTTGAATACTCTATCCAATTCTTATGAAGGACCAAGAATCATTCTTATGAGTGTCACTGCTTCACTTTTTTGTTTTTTCATAACACAATAGTGCTGGACTGATCCAGTCACTCGAAAACCAAGGCACTTTAAATGTTGTATGTGGATCATAATTAATAACAAAAATGACTAGTCCCCTTTTATAAACAAAAAGGAATACCTCTTTTGCTGTACCACCCAAAAATGTAAAAAGGCAAGAAAGAAAAAAGTTGAAGTTTAGCAAATTATAACTAATTATTTGTGAATTTAATACTTGATGTAATGTAAAATGTAATTTGATAAACAACTATTTGATCCTACGTTAATTGGGCAACCACAAGCATTTCACTGCTTGAACTATACTAGATATTTTACTGTATAGTAGACAAAAAGGTTCAAGTACTTCACCATTTTGACATAAGGGGCCTGTCACATTTTATTGTGAAATGACATTTTCAAAATTGTTTAAATTCTAGATATTCTTCATTTCAAACAATTCATTTGTATTTCTGTGAAGCTGATGTGGAGATACTAGAACAATACAACTGCAAATTAGCAATATCACTTTCTGATTTTTGTTTTAAATCATACCATAATTTCAGCAGTTGTAGCAGTAACTGAAGGTTAATTCAATGTATTACTTTCAAATAAAATGTTGCTAAGGTGCATTTTCCCATATGCAACAAAGCCTGGACTGCTTTCAAGTTAGAGCTAGTAGGTGGCAAGTAACATTTGCACCACAGAAATGCCATGAACAACATTTACAACAAACAGAACTTAAAAATCTCCTTTAGACATTCAGTAGCATGAACATCACTGAAACCCTCACAATCAACAAACAACGAGGGGGTGGATTTTGACAATGACCAGAAAGTGAGCTGGATCAGCCATGTAAACACCATGGCTACAGGAACAGGTCAGAGTAACTCACCCCCAAAGCCTGTCCACCATCTACAAGACATAAGTCAGGAATGTAATGGAGTACTCTCCACTTGCCTGGATGAGCGCAGCCCCAACAACACTCAAGGAAATCCAGGACAAAGTGGTCCACCTGCTTGGCATTATATCCACCACCTTCAGCATTCACTCCCTCCACCACCACCACCCCACAGTGGCAGGAGTACAAGTGTAATTATTACCTATGTGACCAGGAATCTTCTTTCCTTTGTGAGCAAAGCACACAGTAACACTGATGCACACAATGGGCTGCCCATTCTCAAAGCATTCCATTTTTGTACGGTTGATTGAAGGAGGTAGCTGAATGAAAGCTTCAATAACCACAACAGGCCTGCTCCTGCAATGCATGGAAAACAGAATTTATCAAATCAGAAATAAACCTTGAATTTATTTAACTGGATTAAAACTTGAGCTATGATTTGATAAATTGTTTTGAACGAACAGTGACAAACTATATAAAAAAATTTGAAGAATTGCATTAGATCATTACAAACAAAAGAAACGGTTACAAAAACATTTTGGGAGAGTTCTAGATCCAATGTCAACTCACACATAATTTTGCCATTTTGAGTCTGTTGACTAAGATTCAAGAAGTTTCACCTATACAACATATTGAACAGTGAATGGTGAACAATACAACATCCTCAAGCACTTGAAATAGCACTCTGGAAGCAAATACTAATTGATCATTTACTACATTTTCACGGACTGACTGGAAGGTGAGGGAGTTCAAGACTACACTTTAAAGAATATATGGTTGGCTTCCCAGAACTGCCTTGCACAGTAGGCATAAAAGGAAATAACTTAAAGCAACCAATGCAAGTTAGGCACTACAGGCTCAGATCTAGATGATCTACCTGCAGAGTCCCATCACTGTACAGCACAATGTGTTCTGGAATCATTAGAATCCCAGTGCTTTGTTAGTGAACTCTGCAACCAGCCAACACACTATTTTCTTCCATTGTATAAGGTAATTGTTCAGAAGGAAGTAACATTTAACAATTTTTGGCTCCACCCATCTTACTGATATCTCTCAGACAGTCTGTAGGTGGAGACGAGGAGTTCTACTTTAGTTTTCAAAGAGAGATTTATCTACACCAGTCCCTAAGGTCCCAGATGTGATGTCTGACCAAATGCAATAAATATTATCCATGTACAATGCCTCTTCTGTAGATTCTCTGTGGTTGTATCTTCCCTATCGCTTATCATTAGATAGGCCAAGACAATGACAGAGCAAAGAAAACGGAGGATTAATGGCAACAAACTAGTTCAAACAACTTTTACCCAGTACAAGAGTTTACAAGGTGTAGAGCTGGATGAGCACAGCAGGCCAAGCAGCATCAGAGAAGCAGGAAGGCTGACGTTTCGGGCCTAGACCCTTCTTCAGAAACTTAATCCCAGTTTAATAGAGCTATAAGATTCTCTCTTCAATAAAATGAAGAAGGGTCTAGGCCCGAAACGTCAGCCTTCCTGCTCCTCTGATGCTGCTTGCCTGCTGTGTTCATCCAGCTCTACACCTTGTTATCTCAGGTTCTCCAGCATCTGCAGTTCCTACTACCCCTTTACCCAGTACAATATACTGATGAATGCGGCAAATACCAAGAGGAAGGGTCCTTTGGGAAAATATCACACCTCCTAGAAGGGATTTAATTAGGAAGGATAGCAGACTTAGTATCACACATTTAAAGAAAAAACATGTCTCAAGGGATAACTTTATGCCAACCCAACTTGTCAACATGCACACATTACATGATGGAGTAAGCAACTGCCCTGCAATTTATTTTGGCACTGTTCTGTGCAATTATTATCTGAAACTTTTCTCACAATATAGCAACACACGATGGCTTTCACAGGCACTTGAATAGCAGGGCATGACAATGAAGGAAGAGAGTCTTCGGCAGAATTACTCAGATGTGATTGGAGCCTTCACAAAATGGTTCATTAATGGGACTGCTTGAAGTCATCTTGACCTTGCTGCACTGTTGTGACTGCAAATTGCTCACTGGTATTGTCATCTACTTATTTTGGTATTACTTTGCCATTCTAATCATCAATATGTATGCCAAAGCTTCTTTTCAGGGCAGTGAGTAGAGAATGTAGCAGACAAATGTGCTGGAAGCCCTGAAGATCAGCTGTTCTATATCTGTCTCATAATACTTAATACCTATGAACTGATGCTTCAAAGTACCAATAATACTGGTTGTAGCATGCAGTTTGTTTCAATGCATTCTGTTTGTATTGGATAATGCGACATGAGCCATGAGTACATCAGACAATTTTGATCTTCCAAAATGCCACTGCCTTACATGATGCAGTCCACAATACATGTACAACTTATTTCCAAATCTCAGTTTTAAAATGTGGTAAATATAGATAATAGGCTATGATCAAATACCCCACATGCTCCACAAACAGCAAATGCAATCAAGTCAGATCCCATGGATTTCTCAGCATTTCACTCCAGATGTTATTGATACATGGGTCATCAAATCTCATTGATCTTCACAGGATTAAAATTCTTCATTGTTGCTGATCTGATCTTGAAGCTCCCTGTCAAGAACCATGGACTGCCTGAACTGCTTTTATTCTGGTCAATCATCCTCCTTTCTTTGTTCTAAGCACCCCTTCATTCTGAAATGACATTCCAATATTCAATCACAAGCATAACTCCAGCTCTTCATGAAGCCAATCCTGCCCCAGATCCCATCCATGTGCCCCACCCAGCTCCAATTTTGCCCAGTTGCAGTCGGCAAAAAACAGCTTGTGAGCTTTTTAACCACCATACTCGCAACCATGCTGAAGCGTTAATGTTCACAGGCTTCTTTTGAACCTTTCATCATTTCCCCATTAGAGACCCAGCCACCTTCTCACTTTTTCAACTCCCTAGGACTTCTTCCAAGCCCTGCAAAACTTAGCTGCCTAATTCCTAAAATTTTATCTTAAGATCTACTGGCACAGGGACAGCGAGCAGCTCTCGATTCTGCACAAAGAAAGAATCTATATAGTTCAGCTGCCCTCCCAGGAGTACAGTGAAGCTGTGCTGCTTAACTCCGAATCTACATCTCTCTCCTCCAATTCTCCTCAGTGATGGAGAAACTTCATGAGTGACCTATTGAAGGTTTGTGATAAGCCTCTTACCTTAGCTGGGAAGAACTATATGTTGCCACCAGGCACCTCTTGGAATTGTATGTTCCATAAAAGTTGCCAGTCAGATCGTTACCTTGCTTGGTACAAAAATGGATATCAAAGAAAGATTTGGTCATAAAACCGGCAGGTGGATTGTGGGTCTTCTGGACAAATGCTGATCACAAATGGAGAATGGAGATGATTTTCCAGACTGGCCTTGGAATCTTTTTCTCCCTTTCAGGAGACTGAAAGATTGATGGTGTGCAGTGCTTCAGGCATTGTAGTTATGTGGGGTATGGTTGATGAATCAACTTTTGGTTTTGCCCACTGATTTTACATATTTTTACGTAGGATGAAGGATGAACACTGATCCTTGCATGCAAGTTTTGATCCTTTGGATTCTGGAAAAAAACTATTTCTGTAGCTTCCTAAACAAATACATCATGATTTCCTTCTGGTTAGCAAGGTGAATGACACTAAATGCTCCTCTTCCAGTTTGGAATGTAGCAATAAAATTATGGTGCCTGGTAATAATTTCCTTGTTACATTGCAACAGTGACTATGCATCAAATGTGCTTAATTGGCTGTAAGGTGCATTGTGTTATACTGATCATATAAGAGGCACTATATAATTGCAACTCTTTCTTTTCACATTTGAGGTTGCACATTTTCTTCAAGTAGATACATAGCAGTATAACAGCCTCCTACATAAACCAGAGAGTTCGGAAACTGCACCTCTTCCACCAGCATCAGGCAGCTGTGCCTGAGAATGTAAATGCCATGAAATGCAAAGCACAGGTTCAGATCGGATGTCTCTTGTGCAATTTGGTATTCCTGGCCAACCTTCTCTGCTCCTATTCATTCTCACTGACTGATGGACGCTGGCATAATTAGTTACCCCAACAGCAATTTTTACTCTTCAGTGGCTGGGGAAGTTTGATGAACTTCCAATAGTTAAATTGGAAATTATTTCCTTAAATTAATGCAACTTATTATAATCAACACGCTGAGGTAGCAATGCACCACGTCAAAATTCATTCTTACCTTGGTGCAGAAGAGCATTTCAGAAATATTTAATTCATCTATTTGTCAGGATAAATTATAGCGACAGCAAATAGTGGTACCGGCTGTGTTCCTAATTTCTGATTCAGTGCATAGATAACACACTAGCGGCAACAATGGGTTTTTCAATAGCATCTCAATTGTGCATGATCACCTCTTAATCTCCCCCTGTCCTAGACCAATAATTAAAAATAATTCTTACGCCACGCACATTCAAAAAGGGGGCAGTTATTTTGATTCCTTAATAATGGCAGGTCTGCTGGTAATCCCACAAGCTCTCATTTATATTTTAAATACTGAAAAGCTACAGTATAATTTATGCATCATACAATTGCAAGGTCTAAGCCTAAAAATCATAGGATCATAGAATACAGTGTGCAAGCAGGCCATTCAGCCCATCGAGTCCACACCAACCCTCCGAAGAGCATCCCATCCAGATCCAACTCCCTACTTTATCCCCATAACCCTGCATTTCCCAAACTAACCCACCTAACCTACACATCCCCAGACACTATAGGCAATTTAGCATGGCCAATCCACTTAAACTGCATATCTTTGGACTATGGGAGGAAACCAGACACCCGGAGGAAACCCACACAGAACAGGGAGAACAAGCCTGGGTCCACTGTGCTGCCACCTCTGCTGGGTCTGTCCTGCTGATGGGACAGGATATGTCCAGAAATGGTGACTGTGGTGTTTGGGACATTGTTTGTAAGGTACGAGTCCGTGAGTATGATCATGTCAGGCTGTTGCTTGACTAGTCTGTGACACAGCTGTCCCAAATTTGGCACTGGTCTACAGATATTAGTAAGGAGGATATTACAGAGGGCTGTTTCTGCCATTATCCTTTCTGATGGCAAGGTTGTTGCCAGGTGGTTTGTCCAGTTTCATTTTTTTATTGAGACTTCATAGCGATGGACACAGCTGAATGGTTTGCTGGGCTATTTCAGAGGGCCATTTAGAGTCAACCACATTGCTGTGGATCTGGAGTCACAAGCAGGCCAGGGGAAGATGGCAGATTTCCTTCCCTGAAGGGAATTAGTGAACCTGACAATTGACAATGGTTTCATGGTTCTTGGTAGATTCTCACTTCCAGATTTTTTTTATTGAGTTCAAATTCCACTACTGCCATGGTGGGATTCGAACACG